ACTGTCTGAATGTGAGCAAATGACTATTTTACCCTTCTTCTGTTAGAAGTAAATAACCATTTTACCCTTGTTTCTTTTAAGTGTTTGTATGGATAAAATACCAACTGGATAAACGATTCTAAGTATTGTATGCACAAAGTCTGTTTATGAACTGTCTGAATGTGAGCAAATGACTATTTTACCCTTCTTCTGTTAGAAGTAAATAACCATTTTACCCTTTTTTTCCTTTTAATATATGTATGGATAAGATACTGAATGGGTACATGATGTTGTAAAAGTTATATACACAAAGTCTGTTTCTTTCTTGGTCCGAATGAACTGTCGGAATGTGAGTAAATGATTATTTTACCCCTCTGTACGTTAGTCAACTTCCGTTTATTATTGAATAGAAATAATGTCATATTCACTTTGTTTTTATCTGCTTAAGATTCATTAAGGAACGTAAGAAGAAGTATCCGGAAGATGAGATAGCTGTTGCAACTAAATTTGCAGCATTGCCATGGAGGCTTGGGCGCCAAAGTGTCCTCTCAGCCCTTAAGGACTCATTGAGTCGACTCGAGCTTGACTCAGTTGAACTCTATCAACTCCATTGGTTTGTTTCTTAGCCTCCTTGGCTTATATTCATGTCACATTCAAGTAAATCGTAATAACCAACTAACTTTTCTATAAATTTTCAGGCCAGGAATTTGGGGAAACGAAGGTACTTTCCCTACTTGGCTACATTAATGTATTATTACTCTTTATATCTATTTTGTATAGTTATCCATATTAAATGCTTAACCAATAAAATAAAAATAAAAAACTCCTAAGCTGGATAGTTTTTTTCAGGGTATATTGATGGTCTTGGAGATGCGGTGGATCAAGGGCTTGTGAAGGCCGTTGGAGTCTCCAACTATAGCGGTATATTTTCATTTTTTTTTTTTATAGTTATAACTGTTAAAAACCGGTCCCACTGCCAACATGGATGAGGTAAATCACAGTGTCCTCAAAGCAAGAAAGGTGATGCCTGGGTTTGAACCTAAGACCTCTCTTATGGATTCTCACCTCATTACCACTACAACAGACTCATGTTATCACTCTAACATTACAAATACACTTTTTTTTTTATGGTTTTATAGAAAAGCGTCTTCGTGAGGCTTATAAACAGCTAAAGAAACGAGGTATCCCTTTGGCTTCAAACCAAGTCAATTACAGTCTCATTTACAGGATACCTGAGGAAAACGGTGTCAAGGCCACGTGTGATGAACTTGGGATTAGTTTAATCGCATATTCGCCTATCGCTCAAGGTTTGAATTGTAATTTTGTATTTTCTTATAAAGAAAAAGAAGTAAAAAAACCCTAGAATTGTCATTGTAATTTGCAATAACCTTTTTTTTCAACTCCTGTAGGTGTTTTGACGGGAAAGTATACCCCGCAAAACATCCCGACAGGTCCTCGAGGAAATATATACACTGCTGAGTTCCTAACCGAGGTAAGACCACAAGGGCAAAAATGGGAAAGTTTGCGTTTTTTTTATTCCATACTTATGTCATACAATAATCTGTTTCCGTGCAGCTGCAACCTCTTATAAACAGGATCAAGGAGATTGGAGAGAGCTATAAGAAAACTCCAACACAGGTATATTTGATATGACATAACAGAACAGGTTGTACTGTGTTTAGCAACTGTGACCAGGACTAAGATGTATGTATTATATGTTGCCAGGTGGCTCTCAACTGGCTCATAGCTCAAGATAATGTGATCCCAATTCCCGGAGCCAAAAATGCAGAACAAGCACAAGAATTTGGTGGGGCATTGGGTTGGAGACTAACTAGTGATGAGGTTGATGAGCTTCGTGATTTGGCTTCAAAATCAAAACCCACAATAGGTTTTCCCGTTGAAAAGATGTAAATTGACAATGCACATTTCATTTTTTGTAATTAAAAAAAATATAGATACTTTGTTACTCATATAGATCCAATACATACATATTTTTGTTTATTCTCCCAGCAAACAACCCCTAAGTTGATTAACACTGTCCAAGAATGACCACTCAATTACTATTTATATATGATACATGAATGTGCAAATGATAATCTCAAAAGTTTTACACGATATTTCTATCTTAAACAAAATAGAAAACCTTGAAAAAAAAAATTGGCAGACGAAAAGAATGTGAATATAACCCGAAAACACTATTCCAACCCTCGACCTCAAATAATGAACAATGCATATTCCTACTCCTAATTAACTTGTACACATTTCCACCCCGAAAAAACCTCCTATATAAGTCCCGTATATGGATTATACGATTGAACCGGGACACCCGACCCATAAGGGTGCGAGGTGGGCCCATACGGGTTTGCAAATGGGTTTGCACTTTGTTGTGGTGGGGCCATCATCATCATTTGTTGTTGTTGGAACATGAAGGCTTGTTGTTGATGTTGTTGTTGTTGAGCCATAGCCATTTGTATGTTGTGTGGTGCGGTTAGGGCGGTTGAGCCGTAGAATGGGCCCGGTGCGGTTTGTGGCGGCGGCATCATGGTCCCGGCTAGCGGACCGTGTTCCCATGGGTTGAAGCTCGCGGTTTGGTTTTGGTTGGTTCTTCTGATTGCATCGTCGTAGAGACTATCAAGTGTAAGTTTGTCTAGCCCTCCGGCCTGGCATTTTAGATATTTGACTAATAGTCAGACAGAGACAGTCTGATAAATAATTATGTTGAGAGGTAAATGTTATGTACCAATTTGCTTGCGGACGCGGTGGTCCCATTAGAGCTTGGAGCGGTTACTAGTGCCAACTCCCATCCCGAGGTTCCGTTGAATGAAGTTGTGGTGGTTGAAGTTGGTTGGTCAACTGTGACATCAACAAATAAATAAATAGAAATAAATTGCTATTTTTTGCAATAAAAACTATAAATTACATACCAACGGGAACAATAGCCAAAGCTAAAGAATTCTTCTGGTCAAATTCAGAAGCGTCTGTAACCGGATCATCCAAACCCTAGCAATACAAACGAGTCATTTCTCAAGAATCCAAATATAATTAAATAATATCATATAAAATTAATAATACATTAGAAATAATATCAAATAATAAAATACCAGTAAATCTGGTGGTGGTTTGGAGGCAACCGCTTCCACCTTAACGGGTTCAGCCACGGGTGCAGGAGGTGGTGGAGATTCTGTCTGTTTCTCTTGAACCTCTGTTTCTTTTTTGTATTCTATGGCCAAAATTGTTTTTGGTTTGCTATCCTGCTTTTTTGGGAACATAAAATTTAAGCAGTTTTTTTTTTCTAAATTAATATTTATAAGTAGACAGAAATATCCTACCAGATCTTTATGAACAGTAGAAGCACGAGGAGCTTCTTTCACGTATTCTTCCATGGCTTGTAGAAATGAAGATGGGGGCTTTAGTATAAAAAAAAACAAATTAGAATGCTATAAATATAATAAACAAATCAATAGAAGTACGTTGCTATTTCTTGCATTTAATCCTAAAAACTTTATAAGCAGATGATCATATCCATACCTGCTCAATCTTAATGAACCTGTCCCCACGTCCAATATCAAGACTTTTACATACTTCATAAAACTCGGACAATCTTTCAGCCTGAAAACATTGAAGAGCATAACATATTAACATAATATATCTGCCATTTTTGCTAAAAACTTCAAAAACTTGTAAATAAAAATTCCCAGAATATTAAATATTCTACCTGTTGTCCAGCTCTCCTATATATATCAAGAGCCTTAAGAGCATCATGTCGTTGCATCTCAAAGAACTGTTTCATGGTTACGTTTAAATTATCGTATCTTTTTTTTTTCATCAAATAAACTTTGAATTTTAATACATAAAATTAACGTTTACCTTGTCTACCAAATTAACTGAACCATCACTAATTGCATTGTAGATTTTCATGCTTTCAGAAGCAACCTAAAGAAGCAACAAAGATAATAATAGTAAGACATAATGGGTACTATATTGAGTGTTTCTTTTTTAATTAATACAAAAAGAACGACTTAATAGAAAAAGTCATGAAACTCGGGCTTTCCTCATTAAGTTTAACATTTTACAAATTTTCCCTCATGCTAAAGTGAAAGATATGATGGGTGTATTATTATTGATAACATGCTTACTAACCATAGAAAGTGCCAGCTGAATCACAAAGTTATGAACTGCTGCTCCTTGTGGCTGCATAGGATATAAATTAAGGTTCAGATCTTACTATGATTAGGTTATTAAACTCAACTTTTACATTAAAAAGCACCAAACTTTAGTGTTTAATAACAACTTTAACTAATTAAGTGTTAAAGATTATACCTGACAGCCTAAAACACGAAATAAAAGTTGCTGAAGAGCTGGTAGTTGTTCAAGTAGATCAGGAGTATCAAGATCTTTTGTTCTCTGTATCACAATTGTTAACAAAGATTGTTAATTTAATTAAAAAAGATAATAACCAAATTATTAAACAAAACACTATATAAATTATTATCTTACAGGGCGATCTGTTTCAACATCATATTTCAAGACTCTGAAGCATTCCAGCCTTTCTTCCAAATATAATGCATATGTCCTAACCCAGCCAGAATAATCCCATGCTGAAAAGAATATCAAAATATATTTTTTTCAAGGATTTATATAAATCCATATATTTTGATTCATGAAAAGAAACATTTCAAGGTACCATTTGGACTAGAATCATCTTTGAAGTAAGATAAATTGAGCACATGGTTTCTGCTTCTTCCATAGTTGAGAAGTTCTTCTTGAAATGTGGGGTCCACCTCCCTCAAGGCCCGATGAATAACAATTAAGGTTTTCAAAGCAACCTGGATTTCAACGAAATTTATTTAACCAATAACATCCTATTCAGAGATAACTTTATTGGCATGAAATCACATCAAGAATTATTGGAAGGAATGCTTACAGCCCAATTATGTGTCTTTGACAATCTTCTTGCAAGAGCATGTATGCAATAAGCAACATCAGCTCGAGGTCTTGTAGCTGAGATAGCTGCAAATATAGCTGCAAGAAGGAGTGCAAAATTGGGGAAAACATTAGTTTTCCATTGTTTAAATAAAATAAAGAGAGAAATACTTCTAAGATGCCCTGAATTTTAAGTTAAAAAATAAAATAACTTACCACGTATATGCTTTTCTTTTGCTGGGCGCTCAACATGGTTTGTGGCCTTGACAATATTTATATCCAATTCCTACAGAAATTTTACACCAAAGAACATCATTAAAGACAAGCATATTGCATAACTTTTACTTAATTTATTGAGTAAATTCCAAAATGTTCATGTACCTTGTAGTCACTACTAACTTTAGCTATATTGACAGTTGTGCTGTCCTTAATTGCTCCAAGAGCTTTCCGTAAACTGTTTTGAGTTCCACCACCTGACATTCTTCAACAAGGAATTCTAATCCGATCTACAAAATTAGGGAAAATTTTCAGGAAGATCATCTTAAAACAATCTCATCATCAAGATATCAACGCTCAGTGTAACCAACACTACTGAAACATATTAGTTCCTTCAGCTCAATTAGTTGATAGAATGATAGTCCACATATAGTAGAAGATGAACCTAGCCTATTTACATCCCTCCTAACTTTGTATAGATATCAATAATCAAAAAAGTTATTCGAATTAAACTAATAAGATAGAAGTCCATCGGGACCCTGAAAAGTGAAAACTACTAAATTCCGTTGCATCCATAAGAACACATACAAGTCACACACAGAGACATAAAAGGTATAGAAAATCAATTCCTGTTTAGCAGGTTAGAGAAATAAAGTCGCAAATCAAAATTCAGCAACTGAGGTCAAAATCATAAACTAAAACCGAGAAACAGGCAACTAAATTCAAAACACACCCGATATCTATTGATAGAATTGAAATGAACAAAATCAACGATGAACTTCTAACTTGCAAAATTCGGTGTTTGAGGTTTAAAAACAGAAATTAGATGGATCAGAAAGACGAAATTGACTCACCGGAATCGTTTTCTAGAGAGAGAAAGAGAGACAGAGAGGCGTCTGGCTGGTGTGTGTTGTGTGTGTGTGTCTGCACCAAAAAGGTCTACAAAAACACAAAATTGGAAACGAATTTCGTATTTGGTTGGCCGTCGGCGTCAAATAACAAATGCTTTTCTAACATTAATTAATTATATATTCTGTCTTAAAATACACCTCGATTTCAAATATAAATTATAAAAAATGTTTAGCCAATAATTAAATTATTAATAAATATATTATATTTTAAATCGGTATGTTTGCAAAAAGGGAAAAAGTTGCATTCTTTTAAGTTAAAACAATATGAATTATGTTTTTTCACGACAGATATAGTATTTTTATTATTCGTTTATAAACTACTAAAAATATGACACTAATCATATTTAATGAATAAAACATGAAGGACAAACATATGAGAATTCTGAAAAATAATGTAATTATAATGGATACTCAAATTAAAATATATGTGTTGTCATATTGAAAAGTATGTTATAGTATGTAACGTAGAAAATGATTTCCAGAGATTTGACCCCAGAGTTGTTGATACCTGCTTGTTTTTGTAAGTATTTTTATAATATTGTTATTGATATTTTATGTACTTATTTTTGTGTAAAAATCACTTTCAGTCATGCAAAAAAAATTGTATTAAGATGTTTGTATATTAAGAAGTAGTGGATAATATATTTATGACATGTCATAGTTATTTTGATTATGTCACTCATATATGACACATCAATTGCTAACACATAAAGCACATTGTTTTACTTCAAGAATGAATATATACTCTTTTTTTTAAAATGAATATATAACTTAAGTATCTTGTTTAAATCAAATAGCTTTTAATTCAAAAGTTAATTTTAGTGGTTTTTTTATTGGTTTTAGCTTTTATGTTTTATATTATTTTGTGAATTTTAAAAATTTACAGTTATTTTTATCAAATAATTCTATACAACTACTAGCTATTTTGTCATAAATACCTGAATTAAGCTATGCAATTTCACCCATCGTGTGAAAAATATGTAACATTTTGATACATTTAATATTTACTAATAATTTAATAGTTTAATTATTGTAAATTCATTTAACAATATTAGTTATAATCATATTTTAAAATTTTAAAATACGAAAAGGTAAAAAAGTAAATCAGAAAATTCCAAATCTGCATTCAGATCCTCTCATTTATATCGCAACATTGCGGAAAAAGTACGATGATTGAATACATCCACAAAAACTCACATCCATGTATACAAATAAATAGGGACCGTCCGATCAAAAATGAATGAATTAGATTAGATTCAATGGTTTTAGCGAGACCACCTATTTTCAGATCCAGCGGTTATAGACAGCTTTGCGGTGGATGAAAGAGACAGCATGTGTTCCACAATTTATTCACATGTGCTCCTTTAAGATATTAATATTGACAAAATAGTCCCTAACTTTTCTGTTTCTGTCAATCTTTTCATTTTGTAACTTTTTTCCCTTTTGCACCCAATTATTCATGAAAGTTTAAATCTACTTTTTCATGTCCCACATTTGCAATTATTACAATAGATCGTCATTTTTCATTATGATTTTTTGTTGTACAATATCACCACAATAGTATGTTACATATGTGTTATGTAATATTTACTCTATTCCAAAATGTGTATAGTATAGAAAAAAAAATTAAAGTGGCTTTTATTATAATCTACAACTGAAGTACGAAAAGTGATTTAAAAGAAAAAAGAGGGCCGAAAGTGGGGCTAAAGTCATTATTTTAAAGTTATGTGCATTAATAGAATTCAAATAAAGTTTGCGGGTAAAATTTCAATTTATATTTTATACCTTTTACGAAAAATGAAATAATTAGCAGCTGGGCCCACTTCATGAGGTTGACCTTCTAGCAGCAGCAATTATTCACAAAATTGCAAGTAAGGACACCAAATTGTCGGTGAGGGTATCTATATTTACATATGCCGCCCTTATAAATGAAATAATCTGAAATAAGCCCTATCAATTATTATATATATATTAAAATTGTGGAACAAAAGAACAGTAAACTTGGTCTCCTTTGTCCACCTTTGGTCCCTTCATTTATATATCCGGCCCCTGTACTTCTTTAATTAATTTCTTTATATCCTTTTTGTTTGTGTTCTCCATTTTCTAACCCACCGCCTCTCAGCTAACCTTCCCGATCCTTCCATACTCTTCCTTATCTCCCTTTTTCATTCCTTTTGGCTCATGAGACCACTCCAGAAAAATTTGCACACAAAATCGATTCTTCCTGTTCTTTCTCCACCGCCTTCTCATCCAATATCCTCATCTCTTTCACCCGTCCGACATAGTCTTCCATACGCTCCCTCAGATCCCCAACGTCTACTCCACCGATTTCGCAGGTTAAAACAAACACATCGAAAGGTGTTTCCGATTCCGGTAAGTTTTCCATGAAAGAGTCAAAGTTCTTCGGGAAGTTTTTGTCGGAGGGAGAAGAAGGCAACGAGGCGAAACTCCCATGGAGTCGAATGGCTTTCTTTTTCCGTCTTTGTTTTTTGGGCACTTTCTGCCATTTGATCGATTTTTGTTGCTACGTGTTTGACGCCTGTTGTCTTCACCATTTTCCCACCCAATCACTTTTGGATTGCTGGCGTTTTTTCCGATCTCATGGTTCCACCGGTAATTCTTCATTA